AACTGTGATGTACTGTGTGTTCTGACATCTTTCTACCATTCGCTCTATCCTTCGCTCCCCACATGTCTCCATTAACTTAGGGCACCCATGATCCGTATGTCCTTCCTTGCACCACTTTTGGTAGGTACTAAACACTGCATACCTGGAACACCATACAAGACTTGTTGTTTTGGAGATGCTCTGGAAAAGTTGTCTAGCCATCACTATTTAACGCTTGTCAAAGTCATCCAGATCTTTTTACTTGCCCATTTTTTCTGCTTCCAACACATGAAATGCTGCCTAATAAATCCCACCAGGGCCATCCCGTCCATTGGCCTACATGGGGCCATGGCTCCAGGCAGCACTTTTATAGGGGCGGCATTTTACATTTTTAAGTCAGGTGAATGTGGGCCATTAAATGCTGCCACATCGTCCGATCCAATGCTGTGAGGAGGTGTTGTCAAGGTAGCCCCTTAGTACAAAAGCATAATGATGAGGAGCTCAGACTTGTTGGAAGAGCAGCTAACCCCAGTTCTGAGTTGTGGCACTACCACATTTCATGCCGGAGCCCCCCTCCCTGCCCAGAAATAAGAGGCAGGGAGGAAGACTAAGATTTATTATATATAATATCAATTTAATATTATATTTATTTTAATAATAAATTTTTTTTTTGAAATAATAATTTACTGCTGCTCTCGCCCTCCTCCCCTCCCTCCCCTAACAAAGCACATATCTCAGCCCACAAATACACAGTGAAAACTATATACACACACTGCATACACTACGACGGCAATACAAACACATGCATCCACTATTCAAACACACACCAGACCCACTATACAAATACACACTGCATCCACCACACACACATTGCATGCACTATACCAGGCATAGGCAACCTTTAAAGTGAGCATATTGGTTCAATGCTCTTCCAAAGCCCTGCTGAAGAGCTCTTGCATGAGAAAAAGGTCATGCGCAGTGAAAACAAATGTAATGACACACTTCCGCTGCGTTTGCTTGTGACTCGTCTCGGGTGACTCTTTAAGTGGGGTTCCAGAGGACAAAAGGGACAGAAAAGAGTATGATACATGTGTTTGGAGGGTGCTTGTGGCATTGCATGTGTAGAGTGAGGAGATTGTGGTATGGTGTGGTGTTTTTGTGTTTTAGTTTCAGTTGTGTTTTGTTTGTAGTATTATATGTCTGGCTAGGGGCTGTAGATAGTGTGTGTATATAGGAGCCTTAGAGTGTGTAAGGGGGATGCAGCATGTGTGTGCACAGGTGGTGCAGTGTATGTTTGTGTATAGGTGTCATAGTATGTGTAGGCATTGTAGAGAGTTTTTAGGGAATGCAGTGTGTGTTTTTGGCATACAGGAGATATAGAGTGTGCATAGGGGATGTAGTGTGTGTATGTGTTGTAGTATGTGTCTAATGCCAATCTAGTGTGTGAGGTTGATGTTGTGTGTATGTGATGCAGTGTGTGTATGAAGGATGTAGTGTGTGAGGGGTTATGTGTGTAGTGGTGCAGTGCTTGTGTGAGGGGTGCTGTGTTTGTGTGTGTGTGTGTGTGTGAGAGAGAGAGAGGTGCTGTGTGTGTGAGGAGTGCCGTATGTGTGTGAGAAGTGCTGTGTGCGTAAAGGGGGATATGTGCGTGAGGAATGCTGTGTGTGTGTGTGTGAAGGGGGCTGTGTGTGTGTGAGACGTGCTGTGTGTGTGAAGGGGATGTGTGTGTATAAGGAGTGCTGTGTGTATGTGTGTGTGAAGGAGTGTGTTTGTGTGTGTGAAGAGTGCTGTGTGTTAGGAGGACTGGCTTCTATGTTGTGTGTGAGATGTGAGGAAATGTATTATTTAACACTATCTTTAATAAAAAAAAACAAAAACGCTTTATGTCCCCCCACCCTTCTTTTTACCTTTGGCCAGGGAGGGGAGACATAATGCTGCAAACCCTGGTGGTCCAGTAGTGGCACATGCACTTTAGCCTGTAGCTCTTCTGGCTGCAGGCTGACATTCTTGTCCTCCCGCGAGGGAGGAACTTACAGCCTTCCTGGTCCTTCCTCCCTCACACTCCTGAAATGGATTGCCAGTGGGCCGGTGAGGAAGATCTTTGATCTCCCCACTGACCCGAGAGAGGCCACAGCAAGGCCTACAGTGTGTGGGCCGGCAGGAGAGATAAAAGTATCTCCCATGCCGGCCTTGTTTTATGTCAGCGAACTAAAGCGGGACAGCACCCTAAAATCATCTCTACTTAGAGATGCATTAATCTATGCTGATTGGCTCAGAGTGGTGATTGTCACACTTGCGTACTAGCCCTGCCCTGAGTGGTGGCCACAGCAGAATTGGCACACATGGGACTAAAATTGCTTTACCTGCTTTTACTTGCAGGGGGCCTGAATCTGAATATAGAGAAAAACACTCTAATGTTAGAAATACATATTTTTACTCCTAACCGATTGTTACTGTAATTTTTATACAAGGCAGTAGACATGTGCAATTTGTTTCGGTCCGAATTTAAATGTCCGAAGTGCCGAACCGAACCAAATTACCGAAGTGCCGAATTTCGGAAGTGCCGAACCGAATTGACGAATTTCGGAAGTGCAGAAGTTCTTCGGATTTCTGAAAAATGGCATAACAGGAAAGGGAGGGAAAATTAAGGGAATGATGACAGGAATCTAACCTTACCCCTAAGCGTACTCCTAACCCTACTCTAAACCCACCCTTAACCCTACCCCTACTAGGCTTAGGGGTGGGGTTAGGTTTAGGGGTAAGGTTAGAGGAAGGTTGGGGTTGGGGTTAGGGACTTCGGCAGTTCCCTAACCCTACTCCTACCCCTAAACCTACCCCCTAACCCTACCCCAACCCTAACTCTACCCCAGCCCTAGCCCTAACCCCAACCCACCCCTTACCCTAACCCTACCCCTACTAGGGTTAGGGGTGGGGTTAGGGGTAAGGTTAGAGGAAGGTCGGAATTAGGGTTAGGGGTAGGGTTAGTGGTAGTGGTAGGGTTAGGGCTGGGGTAAGGTTAGGGGTGGGATTAGCGGTAGGATTAGGGTTAGGGTTGGGTTAGGGGTGGGATTTGGGGTAGGGTTAGGTTAGGGATAGGAGGTAGGGTTAGGTTAGGGGGTAGGGTTAGGGTTGGGGTTAGGGGTAGGGGTAGGAGTAGGGTTAGGGAACTGCCGAAGTCCCGAATTGCTGAAGTCTCGAATTTCGAACCAAACCAAATTTTTTGCCCATGCACATCCCTACGAGGCAGGCCCTGTGTGGTGTCAATATATATGTGTTATTAAATAATAAATAACAATTGTATTTGTATTTTTTTATTGTAGCCTTACCCAGTTCTCCTATGATGAGGTCTTTATTATAGGCAGGCATAGAAGCAGGCTTTCCAGATGGGACCTTGAAAGGGCTGGGTGCCATAAAGGAAGCAGACCATTCCACAAAAGGGGTGGGACTTTCCATGAAAGGGGAGGCATGCTGGACCGCCCCTAAATTGGGTGGCCAGTCTGACAGCCCCATCAAGGCAGGCAATGCACAGAGTTTAGCAGAACTACTTTGCTAATGTTCCTAGTGCCCTGTCCCCTCCTACATCCTGAAATCTACCCTGGAGATTGAACTACCCAGTACCCATTTGTGTTGAGGAGAGAAATACAAAATTTGGGACTGTCCCACAAAAGTCAGGACTGTTGGCATACATATTAAAAGTCACAAAATCCAAATCAGCTAAACAAAAGCATATATTTGTAGGAATACCAGGTTTTTTTTTTTTGCTAAGAGTATTTTCACATGTTTTATTTAATCACCAGCCTCTTCCAAATATGTTGGTTATAGTTAATTTAAAAAAAAAAATTGTAACGCATATTCCATTTTCATGGGGAATTTTACAGAGCATGTGCATCCCGTTACTGTAAAAACACCTGATTTGTATTGTTCTGACACCCCCTGGTCCAGCAATACTTTATACGTAGACCTTGTGAGACATTTGGTAGGTATTCTGTCTTGCCTCCCTGATTTTGTTCCATGGGGTCCGGCATCCATGGACACCAGGGAACTGTCCCCACAGCACAGCATGAGCACATTATTAGACATGTTCGCTGGCACTTGGACAATGCAGAGATCACTTAAGCAGGTCTATCTTCATTGTCTTTTACATTGGTGGCTGGCCAAAGATGCTGTCAGTCAGCCTGACATGCTTGACACAAGGCTACCCACGTCCACAGTGGTCAGACCAATTCCGCTTTCTGAGCAAGCCCTCTCATGGCGGAACTACTGCCGGTGAAGCTAAATAGGGTCCTGTGGGCATTGAGGGCCTTTAAGGTAGCATATCCACTTAGGGCAAACCCAGTAGTCACAAAACAAAAATAGTGAAGTAGTGACAAGTAAATTGCAAACTTTAAGGCTAAAAAAGCCCATCCCTAATCTGATGAATGTTTCCAATTCGGCTAGTTAAGCCTAATATGTGCAACTCCCTTCCAATTCTCCAGTTTGGTGAATTAGTTTATTGTATTATTCTGCACTGCATGGGATAGGTAGCAGAAGACATTTACGCTCCTTTCAGTTTCTTTTTCCATCCATTAATATTCATACTAATGACTCTAAAGCTGAAGGCGGCTCCTTTAAATTTCTTCTTCTTTTTTTTTTTTTTTGTAACCAGGAAAGCTTTCTAGTCCTATATAAGAGGAAACATCAGCTAGTTCTTCCTCCTATAGCTGCCTTTCAAACGCAAATGAACAAGATCTTGTATAAAACGTGAAAAATCTTTTATCACTTATGGAAATATATTAACTTAAATTTGGTCGAAAGAGCTTTCTGTTGCACTTCCTTGTAAAAATATATATGATACTATGGACCTGAGCTACCCCTCCCATTTTAATGAGAACACCTGAGTGGGAAGATGCTAATGGTTCTGTTTTCAACATTGTTTACTACCTTATCTGAGCCTTCCTTGCCTGTTCACTATATACCCTACCCTGAAAATGGCTTTTTAGGAGTTTATGCTATATAGGATCAGCTGTGAAAGTATACCCAAGATGCCAGGACCTCCCCGCCACTTGCTGCTGCTTATTCTCTTTATTAGTCCAATAACTCTAGACACTGGTGGGGAAGCATTGAGGGCTGTGATGCGCTCCAGTTCTCTGCCTCTGATTCGGACACTGCTTGAATATGGGCCACAGGAACCACATATGGCACTCCGACGTGGCCTCAACATGCAGCACCTGCGTTTTATGATGGACCTCTACAGAAGATCTGCAGGTAGTAATGGGAGGCCAATGCGTGGGAGGCATGTAGGAGCGGCAGTGAGGTTGGTGAGGCCTGTCAACCAGGCATCTTTTATTATGGGTGAGTAACTGAGTATAGATCTGCGTACACGTGTGCATATATTATGGGCGATTTAGTTTTTAAGTTTGGGCAGCACAGATTTGTATATTTATTTTTATTATGGGAAATTTAAATTACAATTTAATTGCACCCAGATCACTTCATCTCAATGAACTGGTTTGTGGTGCAGAGGACCTGTAGTTTTAACCCTTCAATGTAAAACTTAGAGTTTTGTAGAAACTGCAATGTTGTCTAGGTTCCATAATCACTACATGCTGTTGTAAGGGGAGCAGCACACCAGTTGTTGCGTAAAAAGATTTGAGTGGTTTGATGAAAACCTGGGGTCCCTGAGGCACCTGTGGCTGGCCCCTGCTTGGCCTTTAACCCCTTAAGGACCAAACTTCTGGAATAAAAGGGAATCATGACATGTCACACATGCCATGTGTCCTTAAGGGGTTAAACTATGTATAGATAAAACTTAATAGCAATATCCAAGCATGGGGTCAGACCACTGGTGCTTCTGAGACACTTGGTTTCGGTAAAATTGCTCAAAATGTTTAGTCAAGACCAGAGGATGGCACATATAATCGCACCATAACTACTGTACTGGTTATAGAGTTGCCCTTTGATAATAAAATTAGTTTTTAGGCTGGATATTTTAAAGTGACACTTTAATGTGCCTTGCAGAAAATGGCTGCATTGGTTTGTGTAAAAAAACAAAACCAAAAAAAAACCCAACTCTGCCATTAGTATATCTAGCAGGGTTAATCATTAATGACAAAATTTGTAGGTAATTCAAAGGATATTTTTAAATTTAGACCATAAGTACCCAAATTATAACATTTCTTTAATTCTGTGCTCAGCTTGGTTATTTGGCTCTACATCTGAGTATTTCCAAGAATTTCCAGTTATTCTCACTTTGGTAAATAACCCTAAAAATCTCTATTGGTTGATGTAAACCCTTCCTGGTGCAGAAGTAGCAATTTAGGAACTAAAAAAAAACAAAAAACTTCTTGATGTATTTTTGCATTTTAATGCTATATCTAAATTTTGGGCATAGGCCAATAAAAGATTGAGAATTCTGAAAAAAGGAATTGTTATAAATGACTTGTCATCTTTTCATCATACATGCATTTATTATTATTATTATTATTATTATTATTATTATTATTAATAATAATAATAATAATAATAATAATAATAATATTTATTTTATTTATACAGCGCCAGCAAATTCCGTAGCGCCGTACAATGGCATATAAAGGTTTCTTCACATGATGCTGTGTAGCTCATGGACATTGTTATTAGCACTGAATGCCATAACAACTTATGTAACTTATGTACTAATTTCTTCAGAGGATCCTTGTGTGTTTTTTGTGATCTGGACCATGTTTTTCATGACACTCAGCCATAGAGCTGGGTTAGGTCAAGGGGAAAATAGTCCATGGATCACATGGGGATCAGCCATCACGTTAAGTGTTTCTCATAGGGTCATGAACACATTATTGTCTTGCTATCACAAGATACAGGCCTTCCAACCGTCGCAATTAAAGCTAGACAGTCCCAATTTTAGGTTCCTGTCCCATCTTCCAGGGCTTACCTTGTGTTCCACTTTTGGGAACACTGCCCTCAAAAAGTAGCACAGTAGTATCATGAGATGTACGATGCCTCGGGCAGTAGAAACATGCAGAAAGCACTGAAACCGTTTATCTGCATGGCCTGACCTCATAGGCTAGATGGTGTGATTGGCAGGAAGCCTGACTTGCCAGTACTTGGGGTGGCACCACTGATATAATTCACATCTCAACTCATAGGACGCCAATGTTTGGGTGTATGAAGGCAGATATTTTGCATGGTCAGAAAGTACCAGTAAGACCAACTCCCTTCATGCAGTGCCTGACTACATACAGTCAAGCCTTAGATATATTTCTTCCAGGTACTATATCCATCTGAGGCAGACCTGTTTGTACACCAGGTAGAGTACCCTTCTTTCTGGTGTGCTTTCTATGGAGCTCAACACTTTCACTTCTGCAGTGGAGCCTTATGCATTTCTAGGGAGGATCATTGAAGGCTAATGCTCTGGATTTCGGGCTCCTTAGCCCCAAAGAAGGTAAAACTTTATTTTAATTTTACATACGGTAACTGTTTTCCATGCAGCCCCTATTACTACTTCGGGTGAGAAAGTGAAGGCCTCCCAGTTGACTGTCAGGTAGGGTGTCTGGGAACAGAACTTGCTTCACATACCTCTGTTAGGTACGTGACAAGATTGCATTGAATAACTGGCTATGCTTTCATTGAGATCCTAGAGAGCCTTAGCTGTGTGCTGTTCATGGGTAGAGCGGAGGGAACATAGCCTAGAAAGGTTTGGATATGTCATGACAATTTCCCACATCTGTTAGGGTCAAGATCATTGATTTTTATTTTGCTTTGGGCTCATGCCCAAGGTGTAGCATCCCTGAATGGAATATATACATTGGCAAAAAAGTTTCAACCAAGTAGATTAAAGGTGAGGGTGAGTTCAGATCAGAATCTCCAACTAGAAAGACCACTCCCATCTGTGTTCTATGTTTGTGAGACTCCATAGTTCATAGAACCTATTAAGGTATTAACCCATCATTAAACTAACCAGTGAAGATATTAGCGCCCATCATGTACTGGCCGTTTCAATCACACAAACGTACCACTCATTACACAAATGCAGGCACAGTAATGCTTTTCTTCACCCATAGTTGAAGATGTTAAATTTGTTTGTTTGCTTGTTTGGTGTTTTTAGAGGGGGAGTGGTGGTGTTCACATTTCCAGAACTATAGCTCCACACCTCATATGGGGGGGGTGAGGGAGAAGACACACTTATCACACATGTGCTTCAGGTGTTTGGAATGTTCATTAACAGGTTACTCCAACCACCTTGACCATTTTGTCTTTTTGAAGGCAGGAATCCTGATGTGAAGTGTTTAATCCAGAGATCTTTTTAATTGTGTGCTGGTGGCTAGCTGTATCCTCAGCAAATGTGAATTAGGCACCCCCACTGTGTTCTGTTCTACATAATGTAAATTTTTTAATTTGCATAAATTACACCTGTTGTCAGCAAACACTGGCAATAGCCTTTAACAGCTTCTCCCCTCCCTCAGACCCTAAATGACGCTCTCCCTTCTCCCAATTCATATATATATATATATATATATATATATATATATATATATTTCTTTTTACCCGTCCTCCCTCCTCCTTCTTTTCCTCTCTCTTTCCTCTTCCCCTTGCCAGCTCAGAGTGCGTGCGTGCGCTTTAGCAGGTAAAAGGGTCCCATCAAGGCTTCTCAGCCTTTGATTGGACCTTGGTGCAGCCCTTGTGATGTCAGACTGTTGTTATTGTAAAGATCATGTGGCGGAGGTGATTAGTGTTATGGAGAGAATAGTGTTGTAAGAGATATGAATGAGAAGAGGTAAGTAGTCTGAGAAATTAAAGGGATTATCCAGTCCCAATAACAACTTAATCTCAATGAAGTTAAAGGGCCCGGAGTTCCTGGCTGCTTTCTTACCTTACAGTGTCAGCATTCCTTATAATCCCTTTCCCACTTAGTGAGAATACATTAAATCATGTACTTTGCTACAGACAAAATTATATTTGAGTAGGGAGTGTATTAGTAGAATGGGACAATCTACTCTTTTAACACATTTGTTTTTCTTATCTTTCTTAAACAGTGAAATATATCCTCTTAAAAGCTACACCAGATTTTCTGGGTGGGATTCGTCTCCCCCATTCCCCCGGTTCCTATATCCATGAGTATAAGGTAGCCTTTGCTCTCGGCATATCACTGGTTGCCCAAGTCATTGCTTCCCTATTAGCTGAGCAGACGAGGGAAAGACAGAGGAAGTGACGTGACTGGTGCCTGGGGACAGAACGTCTGTGTTAAATCATTTGAAAATGGCTTAACGCTGTAAGGTAAGATGGCGCCCAGGGAATCCAGATCCCACAACAACTTCATTAAGATGAAGTTATGAGGGCTGGAGGGTTCCTTTTAATTTTAGAACAAGTTGAGTTATTGTAAACCAGTTTACCTTCTGCAAAAGAGGAAGCAGACATGAGTAGAACTTGGCATGTTGTGGAGTGGGCGACAACCAAGTGGAATTGTGGTTAGGAAGGAGTTTTTCAACTTTATGAATGGAATTTACCATAGTTTATAATTTTGGTATTTTAATTTGTGGCTAACAAAGAATGAGTTTTTAGATATTGTATTTTGGTGATTATAATTTTTTTTTTTTCTTTTATTTCTTTGTAGATGGTCACTGGCATATACAGAATGTAACGTTCAGTTTGCAAGATGTGATTAAAGCAGAGCGGTTGGTGAGGGCTACTGTAATGCATCCTCGTTCAACACATCTGTCTAATGCCTGCCTCTCAAGCAAAGTGGATATTCTCTCAAATGCTGGTCCTTCACTGAGGACCAAAATTTCCACTAGAAATCCTAGGTTTGTTGAGACTGATCTCACAACCTATCTCCAGCCTCTGATCGAAGACTCCAAGAAGACTTTTAAACTTGAACTGCAAATAATCTGCAGGAAAGTTAAAATGCAACCCTCAAATCTGATGACTGTCTCTCAGTCTTACATCCCATTCTTGCTTCTCTATCTCAACCACTCATTACAAAGCGTAGCTGAGGAGAAAAATAGAAGCAAGTCAAGCCTGCTTCTTAGGAAAACTCGTCAAGCAGGGAGTATAGGCACCAAGCTTCCAAAATTCTCCAGCCCAAATTTAGTGTCAAAGAGCCGGTGTGTCTTACGCCCATTCTGGGTCAGCTTCCACCAGTTGGGATGGGACCACTGGATCATTGCTCCACACAGGTATAATCCTGGTTACTGCAAGGGGGACTGTCCTAGGATTCTTCACTCAGGGTATAATTCTCCCAATCATGCCATCATCCAGAACTTTATAAATCAGGTTGTTGATGGGAGTGTCCCGCGTCCATCTTGTGTCCCATATTCCTATGGCCCAATTAGTGTACTCATGATTGAACCCGAAGGGAAGATTCTGTACAAGGAGTATGAAAATATGATGGCGGAATCTTGCACATGTAGATGAAAATGAGCAGGTCTATCCAATGACCTGAAGGGAAAAAATACAAGCACTTTAAAAAAAGAAAAGAAAAATACACTTTAACTATTTAATCTGTTTGTAAACTGTGTGAGTGTGTTTGTATTTATATATATATATATATATATTTGTATGTGTGTGTATTTGTTATATCATGGTTAAGCCATGACTCTTGAATAAAACCAGGCCTGCCTAATAGTGTTTATGCCCTCACCCCGCCAAATTTAAAATAAACTTTTTTCACTTTTTGTAATCCTATGGAAGTTTTAATTGGTTTAAATCCACAGGCCATTTTCCTCCTATAAAAGGAGTACCGGTGCCTAAAATAAGATGTGTGTATAGAACAAAGGTTATATTGTCTATAAAATAAATTTACATTTTATTTGGCTGAAATCTCTTTGTTCAGTTGTGAATGAAGATGGAAAATAAGATTACATGACCTTTTTAATGAATTGCTAATGCACCGAAGCTGCTTAATGTTTGAATATTATTTTGTTGAATCCATATTGAAATGAAAGGGTCAGCAGTACTTCAATCTGTCTTGAATAGGTTAGGTCGACCACTTTTTTTTAAATAATGAAATTGAGTTTGTGTTTTTTAATTTACATTACCAATAAGTTCGTCCCCCCACCCCCTTTTTTTTTTTTTTAAAAAGCAGGAAATTACTGAGTCTGGCACTCCTCTCCACATCCTTCATCTTGTAGTCCAATCAGTTGTTTTTCAAAGAGAAGTATATGATTGCACTTTTATTTTTACTGGCTCTGGGCAATTATTAGCGCTTGGAGTGAGGGGGGTGTACAAGGGAAGGTAGCAAGGAGGGACTGCACATAGTAGGAGAGGAAAGATAAGGCTGACCACGTCTGTCACCAGTGATCTGATGACAGATGTAATTTTTGCACAGAACTGACATTGACAACTCTGGTCCTAGCTGCTCAAGTCTCATGTGCTGAGAGTGCAACTATTCCGTGGCACACAAGTATCTGGCATATCTCTCTGAATGGGCAGCATTACAAGCTGAAACTCTACACCTCAAGATTCCTCTCACTATGACCACTTCTAAACGAAGTTGTCATAGTGGTTGGACTAACCCTTTAATATGAAAGCATATCTGAAAGGGATTCTGTTCTTTCCTATGGGGATTCTACTGACGCTGGATGTCCTCATGCATCCCATCCAGCATAAGTCAGAAGTCGTTTTGCCGATTCTATGCTGTTAACCAAGTATGGTATACCATCTGAGCAATGTTTTATATGATTGTTCCTGTGGAACTACAAATAGAAAGTATGGAGACTTCACCACCCATATGTATTCCCAGTCACCTTCCTCCTATCTGTGGTTGAAATCGGTTTCCCATTGATCGATATATTTTAGTTTTTCCCATGCTGATATGTCACTAATGTGAGCATAAATTGTTATAAAACCTTTTTTGTGATGTTTTCGTTACACAAATCCATTCAAAAAAGGTTTGGGAATTCCTTGTTGTCTTCCTAACCATGTCTCCCATTCCAAAGTCACATAGTTGCAAGTATTAGAAATAATTCCTGTAAGATAATGGAGCCACTGCTCACCTAAGTTTTTATTAAATACGTCCATAAATCTTAGAAACCCAGTGATTTCTGAACACCTAAAGTCTCTAGCTAGCAACCGTGGAGGGAAAGCTATATTCTGTAAATATGAGGTTAGAGAAGAGGGCATGTGGAGAGGGAGTAGCATATGGCCACCATATTCCACAAGCTAATAGAATTGAGATTGGCCAGACATTGGTAGCACCAAAAAGGTCTGTCTACTCTAGGTAGCCATATTAAACACCGAGGGCCCCTGAATAAAGATTCCAGATCTACCCATCTTCTCGTGTCAGGGAATGAATGCCATGTTACTATTTGGGCCATAGGAGCTACTAGATAATACGTGTATGAATGCGGTAGGTCCAAGACACCCTCATTTTAGGGCGATAAAGTATTTTTATGTCTTATGGCATTTTTGTTGCCATATAGCACTATCAATTGCATATTGAAGGTGTAACAAAACCCCTCATCGTTTGTAGTAGTTATGGTGGTTTAGTTCCTTCCTACAGTGGTTATGGTGTGGATCTCTGTGCTAACATAATACAACCAAATACACGCTACTAGACTCTGTTTCTCCGGTGACTATGGCCCTGGGCTGTATTGCCTTTTAAAATCTCCAGTTGTACAGATTGGATCCTAAACACTAGGTATGGCCCTTTAACTCCTCTGGGAAAGGATCTGCACTTTTGAACTGACACTTCGGATACAGCCGAAATGCCGAAATAGTCGAACTGGCCGCCATTCGACAAACGAACACATGGCGGTGGCCATTTTAATTCAGTCTAACGCATTCAGCGGTGTTTGGTCGTCGAGTTCATGGAACTCAAATCAGATACACGACGGCATGAACACCGCTGAATTTGACCTTCTCTGCAACTTAAATACTTCGACTGGAGTCGAACAGCGTTCGACAATACAAACGCCACATTAATAGTGCCTATTTTCACGAACGGCCACCGTTCGTGCATTGGAACAGTAATTGAACTGAAGTGAATGGACCAGCCGCACAGCCCAAATCTCTGGAACTGTTTTGGGCATGAAAATGTGCGTGCGGTCGGTCAAAATGGGACTTCTATCTATCCCCCGAACCACTGGACCAATTTGCATGATTTTTGGATATGTTTGTCCCCTGTTTATGCTGGTTCAGAAAATGATTTCTTGAAATTGCATGTATAGTTTTGAAGTTATAAAAATTGGGTAAAAAGTGTATTTTTTGGCTTGGAGATAATTGAGTTGATACAGCAATTAACTCAATTATTTCCCAAGCCGAGGGGAGGAATTTTAATGTAATGAATAGTGTGTTTAACTGTGTGTCTGTAAATTATTGGTTGCTGAGTTTGTTTTTTTCGGTGCCCAACAAGGTCCATAAGGGTGGTAACCTTGTGGGGAAAACTGTATAAAAGAAAGGACCCTTGCATTCAATAAACCAGATCTTCTTACCCTCAACTTGTAGCCTTGTCTCTTGTTGTAGGGAACAGCTCTACCAGCTATATCACTGCTAGCTCTTGTAAGAGCTCTCTCTCATCAGCTATACTCTCTTGGAGGAGAGGCTACCCCAGCTATACTCTCTTGGAGGGAGCCTGCTGTAGAGACCCAGCTATACCTTCCTGGAGGAGGGAACCCGCTCTACCAACTCCTCAGGACCTCGAGTTGGAGCTCTGCAGCGTTCTCCGGTGCTGTGAAGAAGGACGCCTAGACGGTAGATACCCCCACTCCATAGGGGTAGCGGTCACAGAAGGTTATTGGGATCCTTTCTAGTAACCATAATGGGGAGAGCCTCATAGAAAAACAATTATCGTTAACACATTCATTTTTTATTGCATGGATCCTCCCAATCCAGGATATTGGTTTATGTAACCATTTATTAAGATACCGAATCAGAGCCATAATCAATTTAGAATAATTATGTTGATACAATCTGGTAGGGCCAGTGGTACTGGTTAGTGTAATTCTCAGATATTTTATAGAAGTCTGGGAGACCCAATGTGTGCCGAATCCACAACTGACATACGGAATGGCATTGCCACAGTCTTCTCCAAGTTTATTTTATACCGGAAACGTTACTAAACTCGGTTAGTAGGTCCTGCAAGTGATCCATGGAAGTCTTTAGTTTGGAAAGGGTAAGCAAGATGATATCTGCATATGCAGAAACTATAAACTCATAATTTTCCACTTTAAACCAGCTGTATGTGCGTGGGGCCTAATGCTTTGCAGTAGTGGTTCCAGTACCAAAATATAGAGGGTAGGGGGCACTCCATGTCTCATTCTGTTGTCCAACTTAAAGGGCTCCAGTCTTACCCCAGGTATTATGATCTGGGGCTTGGCTCTGAATATAATGCTTTAACTGCTGTGTGATAAAGTCTGTGGGAAAGTGCATACGCTTGAGCAATTCAAATAGAAAAGGCCATTGGACACTGTCAAAAGTGTTCTCTGCATCTATGAGAGGATCAGGGAAGGCGTGTTCTTTGTTACCGCCCACCAAACCAGATTGATTTCCCCATCTCATATTGTCATATAACTACCTGTCTGGGCCAAATTTGACCTTGTCTGGATGAATAATGCAGGTAAGTATGGTTAAGGTGGGAGGCTAAAATGTTAGGAAATAATTTCATATCGAAATTTATCAGTGAACTAGGCCTATAATTACCAACTTTCGTGTGGTCCCTGTTCAGTTTTGTGTTCAGCATGACATTCGCTATATAATAAGAGGTGGGTGTCCCTCCTTTCATAAGGTCATTAAATTAAACTTCTACCTATTAGTATTAGAACTTCTCGAAACAGCTTTTAATAGCTTTCATCAAAACCGTCCAGTCTACAGCGTTGTTTACCTTTTAGCTCTGAGATGAATATGTTTATTTCCTCCCTAGTTATCGGGGATCCCAGCATTGCTATAGTTGTTCTTCCCTTTATCCACCATGGGCACCTTATCGAAAAAGGAGCAGACCGCCTACATATGTGTCTTACTAGAAGTGTTCAGTTGAGGTGGGTGATTGTACTGAGCAAAATAATATTGAGTGAAAACTATATTCATATCTTGCGGTGAGGTAACAAGTCTTTAGGGCAGTTATTAACTTATATGGTCGTCTGGATCTTACTGCCTTAGCCTTGGGTAAGTTCATCTTGTTCGATTTTTTTTATTTTTTATTTTTTATTTTTTTTTGTTAAAAAAAAGTCTTCTTTTTGTAGGATTTCCCAAGCTACCTCATCTAAATTCTTCAAGTTTAGCCAGGGTAGAATTGGATTTGTGCTGTATTTCAGTCTACCAAGAGCTTTCTGCAGGTGAAAGAACTTTCTAGTCTTATTTTTCTTTCGATATGAAGCAATATTTATTAGGTTTCTACTAAGAATTGTGTTATGGGAAGCCCAAATAAGCTGTGGTGATAATCCTGTGTGGTGTTTTCAATAAAATAGGTAGTGCTATCC